TTCTTTCTGTGAAGTCTAATGTGTCTGGGTTGGTAAATTCTTCTCTAAAGACCGTTCCTTTACCTCTTTATTGTAAATAACTGTTCTCTCAATGACCTGGAACGGCTATTTAAAGAAATCATTATTGATGTGTATCTTTTGTACCATACTAGAATACAAGTGACATGATTCCAGAGGGAGGTTAGGGGGTCAGTTATAATTTACATTTCCTTTGGGACTAAAAGGTGGCATTACCTAACTTTAGGCTTGATGTTTTAGGAGCCCAATCATACCCTTCATCTGCCCTGGTTACCTCTCATTTCACAAATTGTTGTCCCTTATCGCTTTCAATGTGACTTTGAACTGAAGCGCACAAGTGGAGAGAAAGAGTTCTAAGAGCGCATGAACATACTTGTTTGCGGTGGGAAATATATTGGCCAATAAAGCCTTTGACAGATGAAATTAAAATGTGAAATGCACTTCGTTTATGAAATATCCCTATTAAACTTCTTGCTGACAATTGTTTTCATTTTCTTTATTCATCAGTGAACTATTTGAACAGGCAGATGAAAAGCCAACCACAACACTGTAATCTCAGGGTCCTTTTTTTTTTAAATCACTGGACTCTTCTTGACCCCAAGGCGCCCTCTGAAAAGCCTCTCCTCTCGATTATAAATAATACCAATGGGATGCTAATAGGTAATCTGATTGAGAGTTAGGGGGACTGATATGGTTCAACTAGAGGGCAAGAGTGCACCAGACATGCAAAATTACTTTAGAAGTGCTTTCATCCACCCTGCTACGAAGTGAAAAGTCCCATTTTCACTCACATGAGGAGAGCAAGGGGGGAAAGGATCTGTTTAAGTGATCATTATCTTGTCCTTGTCATGTCCTCTGTTTTGCCACACTTGCCCTATATAAAGCCTGGTTCAGCCTATTGGCTGTGTTTGTGTGTATGTGTGTGTGTCAGAGGTGGATAGAGAAACACTTCTGACTACAATCATTACCACAGAGCTGTGTGGGGCAACTCTGGACAAGCACAGAGGCCTGGAATTGTACATAACAGAAGTCCCTGAGGCTTTTTAAAATTTGAATAGTCCAGCCTTCCATTGCCAAAAATAACTAATTTGGACAGCCATGTTCCCCCTAAGGACTGCAATAGCAAATGATTGCACACTATTGCTACTGTAAATTGTTTAATTTAAATATAATTAAAATTGCTATCAAATAACTTGCTATGCTGCTCTTTCCTGGTCTGCCACCTTTACCTGCAACGGTACACTCTAATAATAATCACACCCCAATTGTGACGAGTACTGAGTATACGAAGAGGCAGGACGCAGACACAGGAATTAACAAGGTCAAGGTTTACTTAAACAATGACAAAGAGAAATAACAAAGATAGAGTAAACGATACAAAGCTTAACAATCACACACAACATCATCCAGAACAGTCCAGGGCTAAATAGGGGTGGTGATGAGATGATGAGGTGCAGGTGCGCTGGAGGTGATCAGGGTGCGTTGGGTTTCCATTCCGGTGTTGCCGAGGTGGTGCGCTCAGACCGGTGGCTCAGTAGACCGGCGAATCAGAGCGCTGGAGGGGAGCAACGGGAGGAGACGTGACACCAATACTCTATAAGAAATGAACAATGGTACTAAATCCAGTGTCAACTTGTACATGTATAGCAGTGGCGGTCAGTGCCGTTTATGATGAGGGAGGATTATTTATTTTTTATGAGCATGGCCTTATTTCTATTACAGCATATTGGATGACTGTCATTCATATTCCATTCACCCAGTTGAATGTAACATCGATAGGTTTAGGCTACTACGTGATACTCAAATTTCCCTCTACCCATCATGAAATTGTTACAACCTAGCCTATGAATGAAAGTTTACAACGTAGCTGCAGCTGCACACAGGTCAAGAGAAAATGTTGAGGTGACAGACAGACGTCCTCTGGAAGTTGTCATAATTATTGTGTAAGTCTATGGAAGGGGGTGAGAACCAAGAGCCTCCTAGGTTTTGTATTGAAGTCAACGTACCAAGAGGAGGACTGAAGCTAGCTGTCCTCCGGCTACACCATGGTGCTACACTACAGAGGGCTGTTGAGGCTACTGTAGACCTTCATTGCATAGGGGGCTTGACAATACAGTGCATGGGGCTTCACTGTGGATACTTACAGGAATGTTCTATGACGGTCTAATCATTGTTAGAGAACAACACATCAATAAATCAAGTCTGTGCAAAGCAACATTTTGAGAGCACAATAATACTTTAAATAAACATTGAGGGGATAAAGATGTACTATTATTTTAAGACTCACCTTTTTCGCTTCCCATGAAGTCACATGCTTACCCTCTCCCCATTCATCTGGGCGGGGGTCTAACATCCTGTCCCCCCTTTGTTGCCAAATTCATCACTGTTGACATTGTCTAATGTCATGTTGGGTCTTATGATGCCGTAAGTGATTACACTTACAGCATCATAAGACCCGAAACGACATTATACAATGTCAACAGTCAACAGTAGTATGGAGTGAATGTCATTCAGAGTAGGCTATTACATTTTAGTCATTTAGCAGACGCTCTTATCCAGAGCGACTTACAGTTAGTGAATGCATACATATTTATTTATTATATATATATTTTTTCATACTGGCCCCCCGTGGGAATCGAACCCGCAACTCTGGCGTTGCAAGCGCCATGCTCTACCAACTGAGCTACACGGGGCCCATATGTAAACTGACGTGTGCCATAAGAATGGGCATACAACTACCCACTGGGTACAGATGTCAATTCAACGACTATTCCGTGTTGGTTCAAAGTAATTGAAATGATGTGGAAACAACGTTGATTCAACCAGTGTGTGCCCAGTGGGTAGGTCCATACAGTGTGATACAATAACAGGAAGTGGTAGCAATAACTGTACATCTATATTTCTTCAAGCAATTGAACCAAAAATGATTTCTTTGGGGATAGAGGGACATCTGACATGAAAACATTTCCCATTTGGCAAAAACTGGTTCAATCAACATTGTTTCTGGTTTGGATCAGAATGACCTTCTTGATCCAAACCAGTCAGGTTTCAAGACTGGTCATTCAACTGAGACTGCTCTTCTATGTATCACGGAGGCTCTCCGCACTGCTAAAGCTAACTCTCTCTCCTCTGCTCTTGTCCTTCTAGACCTGTCTGCTGCCTTTGATACTGTGAACCATCAGATCCTCCACTCCACCCTCTCCGAGTTGGGCATCTCCGGCGCGGCTCACTCTTGGATTGCGTCCTACCTGACCGGTCGCTCCTACCAAGTGGCGTGGCGAGAATCTGTCTCCGCACCACGTGCTCTCACCACTGGTGTCCCCCAGGGCTCAGTTCTAGGCCCTCTCCTATTGCTACGCAGACGACACACAACTAATCTTCTCCTTTCCCCCTTCTGATAACCAGGTGGCGAATCACATCTCTGCATGTCTGGCAGACATATCAGTGTGGATGACGGATCACCACCTCAAGCTGAACCTCGGCAAGACGGAGCTGCTCTTCCTCCCGGGGAAGGACTGCCCGTTCCATGATCTCGCCATCACGGTTGACAACTCCGTTGTGTCCTCCTCCCAGAGTGCGAAGAGCCTGGCGTGACCCTGGACAACACCCTGTCGTTCTCCGCTAACATCAAGGCGGTGACCCGATCCTGTAGGTTCATGCTCTACAACATTCAGAGAGTACGACCCTGCCTTACACAGGAAGCAGCACAGGTCCTAATCCAGGCACTTGTCATCACCCGTCTGGATTACTGCAACTCGCTGTTGGCTGGGCTCCCTGCCTGTGCCATTAAACCCCTACAACTCATCCAGAATGCCGCAGACCGTCTGGTGTTCAACCTTCCCAAGTTCTCTCACGTCACCCCGCTCCTCCGCACACTCCACTGGCTTCCAGTTGAAGCTCGCATCTGCTACAAGACCATGGTACTTGCCTACGGAGCTGTGAGGGGAACGGCACCTCCGTACCTTCAGGCTCTGATCAGTCCCTACACCCAAACGAGGGCATTGCGTTCATCCATATCTGGCCTGCTGGCCCCCCTACCTCTGCGGAAGCACAGTTCCCGCTCAGCCCAGTCAAAACTGTTCGCTGCTCTGGCACCCCAATGGTGGAACAAGCTCCCTCACGACGCTAGGAGAGCGGAGTCACTCACCACCTTCCGGAGACACTTGAAACCCCACCTCTTTAAGGAATACCTGGGATAGGATAAAGTAATCCTTCTACCCCCCCTCACCCCACCCCCCCCCAAAAAAAAATATAAATAAATAAAACATATTGTAAAGTGGTTATCCCACTGGCTATAAGGTGAATGCACCAATTTGTAAGTCGCTCTGGATAAGAGCGTCTGCTAAATGACGTAAATGTAAATGTAATGTAAATGTTTCAACTTCATTTCAACAAAAACGGTATATGTGATGACTTTGAATCAACGTGGAAAACTGATTGGATCTGCAAAAAGTCATCAACGTAAGGGAATTCAGTCTTTTTTTCACCCAACTTTTAATCTAAATTCAATGGCATGGTGAAATGTGTTGTTGATTTCACATTGAATTCACATTAGTTGACAACTGTCAACCAAATGTGCCAAGTGGGTGGCTCTATCAATGCCAAGTCAGAGAATTGGTCAAATGGAAATGGTTTTGATTTTGAAAGATTTGAAGAGAATAAACTGTTCATAATAATAGTTTTCCTTTTTTTTTTATTGAAAACATTCCACATGCAAGAACAGAGTTAAGCTGCATGAAAATGATAAAGTACAGCTTTAAAACAATTGCATTACAAAATATACATAAAATGATTTATCTCAAAACTATCGGAGTGCATTCACATGAAGTGCTTTTTAAAATGTTGCTTTTACAATGCTACTGGGATTTACATAAATATCTGTGGTACAAAATATATGTAATATGCAAAATACATAATAGGTCTATCTTAAATATTAAGTGTATATAAATAAATGCCAATAGATAATTGCCAATATTTCACTGTCAGTAGATCTGGATACATTTGTCGCCATAGCTGGTGAACTTTGTGGGCAGATTGTCCACTGGATAAACGGTTGGGCCTGTTTTCATTGTCGGGGGTCCATTCAACAAAGTCCAGTCGCATCTGGTGACCACCTCGACCAGGAACACCTTAAGTACAACTTTAGCAAACTCTTTACCCACACATGTCCTCGCACCACCCCCAAAGGGGATGTAACCGAACCGGGAGAAGTCTTCTGGTGACTTGTCCAAGAACCTCTCTGGCTGAAACTCCTCCTTATTTATAAGTGTGTCCAGCAGGTCGTGTGTGTCGCAGATGCTGTAGATGACTTTCCAACCCTTGGGAATCTGGTAGCCCTGAGGTTGGGGCAGGGATGGCAATGACTTCAAACTATTTAATTCCAATCATTATACAGTTTCTGTTGGCATTGATGTATACCACAGGAGGTTGGTGGCACCTTAAGTGTGGAGAACGGGCTCGTGGTAATGACTGGAGCAGAATTAGTAGAATGGTATCAAATACATCAAACGCATGGTTTCCAGGTGTTTGATGCCATTCCATTTGCCTCATTCCGGCCATTATTATGAGCCGTCCTCCCCTCAGCAGCCCCCTGTGATGTATACAAGGAGCTCTATATTAAAACATAGAGTTGCTACCATATTGTGTGTGAGATATTTGTAGAAAAACTCATATGCTAGAACAGTACATGGTTTCCATTTTGTGTCTCTCAAAAGACAATCAATTATGCCTCCTTTAAACTTTTAGCCTAAAATATTCTGTAAATGTTATTTCTTGACCTACATGGAGGTTTACTTACATTAAGCTCAAAAGTCTTCAGTACTACACGGAAGCCACCAGGGACAGGAGGGTTGATCCGGAGAGTTTCCTTAATGACACAGCCGGTGTACTTCAACTGCTCCAACAACTCAATACTCAGCGGTTTGTCCTCTGATTGGGCTCCCAACAAATGCTGTAAATATATAAATATATTATAAACACAGAGATAGGGGGACATGCTTCTTGCATGGATAGTGCTCTTATTAAAACCACTCCCTGTGTGAGGTGTACAGCAAATTCAATCAATTTAATATAGCCCTAGATTTGGAAAAATATGATTTATAAATACCTTAATGAGATTTGTGTCTGATCTTAATCTCATCATAACCAAAAGAACTATGGGCCTTCATTGATTATACTTTTCTTGTCATATAAGACTTTGTGAACAAAATATATATGGTTTCAAATCATGTTTAAAAAATATTGTGCCATGCTACAAAAATCAAGTGCTTTTAATGGTAGCCTGTTGTGCATAGTGTTGCTTTAATGGATAATACAGGTAACTGCCAAAATATAGGAAACACCAACATAAAGTGTCTTATGTTGGGCCAGCACGAGCCAGAACAGCTTCAATACACCGTGGCATAGATTCTACAAGTGTCTGGAACTCTATTGGAGGGATGCAACACCATTCTTCCATGAGAAATTCCATCATTTGGTGTTTTGTTGATGGTGGTGGAAAACGCTGTCTCAGGGCTCCAGAGTCTTCCATAAGTGTTCAGTTGGGTTGAGATCTGGTGACTGAGAAGGCCATGGCATATGGTTTAAGTCATTTTTATGCTCATCAAACCATTCAATAACCACTCCTGCCCTGTGGATGGGGGCATTTTCATCCTATGGGGGCATAGCCATTGTAGCCAAAATAATGGCCTGCCTAGCATTTTTATACATGACCCTAAGCATGATGGGATGTTAATTGCTTAATTAACTCAGGAAACACACCTGTGTAGAAGCACCTGCTTTCAACATATTGTGTATCCCTCATTTACTCAATTGTTTCCTTTATTTTGGCAGTTACCTGTAGATACAGAGCGATACCACAGATTATCCAGCCAGCATCCATTATATTGACCAGGGACCGGTTTCCGGATAGCGATGGGATTTAGGTTTAGGAGTGTTTTAACGATGCATCTTTCCTACAACGGCCGAAGATGTAACATGTGTTTCCCAAAAACACCACGCAGAGAGAACGGTCGCAAAGTGCGTCGTTGGAGCATGTGTCCATACTGATAGGATCGAAAGATAGATAGGGAGCGCTGCTCTCAGATCAGCTTTCTCCATTCTAATATTTCCTTAACATTATAATTATTTCACAATACTGATGACGGATCAGCTCCTAGAGAGATATTACGACCTACGGCTGGAAATATTAAGGTGGCTTATTCAAATGCTTACCTAATAAAAATGCACAAAATCCCCAATTTGGCACATCATTGCGCACATGTTAAACTACACATAATGAAATATATTGAGACATATTATAGACAGTAGCCTACAAGTAGCAAAATATAACTAAATTGATTGAACATTAAATGTATTTCAATGTGATTGAAATAGGCCTATAGCCTACTGTTTATATTTTAATGCAGTCATCTCGGTTTTATTTGAAGCATATTGTTATAGCCTACGTGGCTTGTTTGTATACATTGGAAAGACACTGGCAACTTTGTATTTTTAGTCACCTTTGTTCTGAAGTTATCAGAAGTCACAGACAGATAAAACATGTGATACTATGTTTAGCGGAGATCTTCTGTGTATAAAGTGACACGGGAGGGCAAAAAACATCTAATGATGCACTTAGCTGAGTGGTCTGAGGCAGGCATTAGATTAAGAGCGTTTTCAAGTGCAACGTTAATAAAGATGATTTTAGGAAACAGCTCGGAGATTTATCGATGTTCCTACAAAGGCATCTAAAGATTAACTTAGCCTTAAGATGCTTTAGGAAAACCGGGCCCAGGTACTCAAGGGGGCGCTCTAACAATGAAAAGAAAAGTATTTTAAAAAATGGACGCAGTCGAGCCAATGAGATGGCAGACATGAGCGTGAACAACAGGCACAACTCCAATATGAAGTGTTTTTCTCAAAGTTTCTGGGATGTCACGTGGCCTACTTAGGCTATATCAGTACACTCATAACAACCTAAACATTACGAAACTTCTATTTGATCAAATAAACCACACATAGCTAATAAGCTATTCAATTTTTTGTTAACCAAATTCGACACTCATTGACCTCCATACAAAAACTCCTTATTTGGAGAGCAAAAAATATACGGAAAAATGCCACCTACAGGAGAAGACAGATTTTGGGCCCAGTTATACCTCGCGCTTCGCCTCTTCCTCTCTGGCGATACCAACCTTCTCCTGAAGCTCATGGCGCATTTTACGCACGACATGCGCATGCAGCCCGAGAAACATCACCAGAGAGGTCGCAGTGCTCGCTGTCGTCTCGTGGCCACCGAATAGTAATTCTGTGGCAGACTCTTTTATCTCCTGGGGGAAATACATAAATACTTTTTCATACATAGAGTAAATGGCAGTGTGTAGAATCAAATTACCATGAAAATGAAAGGCATCTGTTACCTCCATGCTTACTCGCTCCTCGTTCCTCTCACCGTCCTCAATCAATAATTGCAGTGCATCCTTATAATTATTGTTGTTATCAATATTGGACAGCTTATTTTTTATGTTTTGCTCTATTTTTGAGTGGATGATGTTGCGCGCTCTCAGACCCTATAAATGGAATGGTGAAAAATATCGGTCAATAACGATGTGCGCACACTGTAACCCCATGTGATGCATTCCAGGGCTGCTTCAATCAATCAATCCTACCATTTCACAGGCAACTTACCCGGTACAAGCCGCTGAAAGGGACATCGATTGGTAGGGAGAAAAGGTTCTTTATCATTTCTTCGAACACTTCCACTAATTTCAGCTCGTCGGTCTTTGTTTGCTCGGGCTCGAAGCCAAGCAGGATCCTCATTGCGATGCGGAACATGAGGCGCTTCATCTCTGGGTACATTAACACGCAAGAGTCGCTCTGCAGCCAGCTATCCACCGCGCATCTCACCTCCTCCCGGATCACAGGAATATACTGTTCCAGGGCTTCCCGGGAAAAGGCTTTCATGATCGCCTGCAGGCAAACAGGAGAGAGCGCTTTAAGGGGATGCTACAAGGAAAATGCGTGGTAAATTACAATGTGTTTTACATCATAAGCAAAAACCATGAGGTGCCTACACAGACATGTAGGCTACTCTACATTGCCTACCCTTTTCTTGCTCTTGTGGAGTGCGCCGTGCGCATTGGAGAGGGCGTGCGACCCGAGGATGAGTCGCACTGATGCTGGCCACTGAGCGGCGACCAATTTGTGTTCTGACATCAGAATCTGTTTCACATGTTCTGAACCCATTATCCGCACCGTGGGACTCCCAAAGAGATGCGTCTTATAAATATATCCATATTTCTGACGTTTCATTTTTAGGAATTTTCTTCTCTAGAAAATAAATAGTGTATGAATGAACACTATTAATTGCATTCTTAAATCGCTTGAATTAGGCTACATAACAATCTTTCAATTTATTCAATAGCATAGCTTTTCTGTGAGGACATTTGAGCCTGATGCATAACCCCAACTAATCGACAGCAGCCTGCTGCACACTGTGAACATAGGGAGGAACAGAGTTTGCAGTTTATGTTTCCATCATCAGTTACCTGTAGGATCATCTGAAGCGTCTCGCCAAGGAAGGGCAGTCCCATGGTACCCGGAGGAAGAGGACTCTGACAGGTTGGATCACTTCCACTAATTACGTACATTTCCCACAGTTTCATCGCAGCCACGATCAAAAGGAGTGGGAGCACGAGAGTGCAAAGACATGTTATGAATAAAGCGCCGAAACCCATCTCTAGGAGAATCTTGTGAAACAAGTGCAAGATAGACCACCGGGAGTGGACCACGGGGAGTGGAAGTAGCCAAGTGTTGCACTTGACTGGTGTGTCTCACCCTCCATTCTGCACTTTTATACGCCCGTTTCACCCAACTCTGCCTCATCTTACCTTGGGTCAGAAAAATTAGTTCACTCAGAGTTCATCTTTAATTGTGCTGCTCTTGCTCACTCCCGGTGCTCCGCCCACAGTGGACCGGCCCGAATGTTTAACCATTTCTTGGTGCGCCGCCCCACAATAGAATACAAGCATTTTACTTTGAAAAGGACCTCCTCGGTTACCCAATATATCGTGTTCTTCGTTTACAGCGTGCATCCATAGTCTGATACTGATCGGGCTTGATTACGTTAATAGAACATTTAGCCTATTATACTTTCGAGAGACTCGTGTCCATGAAGAGGACATCAAGGCTTGACACATGCGTCAATAGGCTAGGACAAGCGCTGCCTCTGTGCTCACTTTGTATGCATATCAATGTATCGTCCTATATTTTTCTAGCGGCAACGGATTCATGTTTTGTAGTTAGTTTACTCTACGGGGCTTACAGTTAATGAATAGATCACTTTGAAATGGCGATGTCATCTAACACTCTCCAAATCACCATCCTATGTGGACCCTCTGTTTAAAACCCATTACCGCAGCGCGATTCCAATAGAGGTGGGGGCAGGGACGCTCTGTCCCATTCCCATGCGCTGACCTGCATGTGACCTACAACACGGACCATGACATCCGTGTGAACTCTTGTGCCAAAACGTCGCCAAGTTCACTGCCCATCAAATAACGAGATACAGGGCCCTATAGCACACATACTTAGAGAGGGGATCGCGCCATTATCTTCACAGTCGTCTATTCTGTCAATCATGACATTTAAATTGAGGGCATAATTATACCTTATCTCAATCTATAGGCCTATTGACGTCAGGATTTCATACAGGTTTTTCAATGTCTCAATTAACCTATAGGGTATATAGCCTACAATTTAGAATTATCTCAACCTTTTTGAATGTAATTTGAGAAGGGTAATTTTACACTGTTGGTTTTAACAGAGAGAGAGAGAGAGAGAGAGAGAGAGAGAGAGAGAGAGAGAGAGAGAGAGAGAGAGAGAGAGAGAGAGAGAGAGAGTGTGTGTGTGGGAGGGAGGGGGTAGTTCTGTTAAACGTGGGTGGTCTGAGTGTTTAAATCAAGTGTCTTACCTATAATGAATAATTTCAGTCGTCTATAGAGGAAAGTCAAATAGTGAGCTATAGGCCTAGAATTCTTTGGTGTGGAAATTATGTTGTGAGATATCATTAGTGTTGTGGTCACTGCTCGTGAACGCACAGTTAACAAAGCCGTCACCTAAACTGAGGGTCAATAGGGCAGAGTTAAATGGTTCACTCGAGGGTCACACTGCAATCCGAGTTCACTCTGAAGGTGTAACCTCTTGCAGGTTCCATTCATCTTCGGGGGCGGAGCCTATCATGTGATATGCAAATCATCCTTGTGGTTATGGAATTCAATGTTATGAGTTGGCGAACGAAAACAGACCCAACTTACCACTAAGACTATACACTTTACGCTAATAATTGACTATATTTTGGCATCTCATATTAAAAACATAAAATATTTCATAATATATTGAATAGGCTTATACTGTGATAATACTGACACACTTTTCAAATGTCATATTATCAAAACCTTAACAATTGTATCTATAAACAAGTTCATATTTGTCTTTTTATAGAACGGGAATCTATACATTGTGGTTAACATGATGGCAGCAAAAGCATATTTTGTATGGTAGAATTTCCTATCCTATGACAGAAATACACTTTTTTGTAATTTACTCTTTATATTGTTCTATAGATAATAGGAGCAAAATCTACACAAAAAACACACACATTCAATCAATAGAACAAATTCTGTATATACACACTCCGTAAAGGAGAAAAAGTGCTATCTCCTTCCATGAATCCACCTTAACCGGGTCATTTCACAGCGCTTCCATCATGCTTTAAAATCAACAAGCGATTATTCATACTGATGTAGTACTACTACTAATAATAATAATTTGTTATTTTCTCTAGGTAAGTTTATATAATTGCATTTTGATTTATAGCCTCTAAATAATCGAATAATTAGCTATACTCTAGGCCTATGGTTTGTTTTAACGGTCTATGCTTTACATTGATTATAAATAACTAGGCCTATTCATTATTATTCCATATGTACACAGACTTAACCGAAGTGTTCTATAAATAAAGCTTATTTGTAATACTACTTCATTTCATACGCACATCAAATTATTTATCCTATTTCTAAATGTAGGCCTATATCTCATTTATATCTACTTACATACTGGACATAAACACATACATTTGGAAGGTATTTCTGAATGTATTTCGTGGAGACCAAGTGCAAGATCTGTAAGACAGTTTCGCATTATAGACGGATATTTATAATCAGTCCTGAGCACAGATAATGTTTGTTCTGAGAGGAAAGCCCTACACGTCCATTGTATTATGCATTATGGTGCTGAAATATAGGCTATCATCTTTCGATTTGCTATGTTATAGAAGTGGGCGCCCGGATGTCCGTGAAGAAAAGCAAAACTATGCAGTCACTTTTCCCAGTGCGTAAAAAGGCGATCTTGGCTATAAGCAGATCATCACAGGTCACTCGCACCATGCATTGGTTCCACTCTACAATGACCACCATGTTTCTCACAGGATAGGGTTCTTGCTGATGTATTCAGATTTAATAACTTAATATTGCAATTGCGAAAAATGTATGAGCTTAATGTTTTTAATAATAACACAATGACATCTCTAAACTATCGGAGTAGGCTATGCGTAATTGAAATGCACATGCAGTCCATTGACGGGGTGGACTATTGGCACGGTCTGCATCTTGGGGAATGTTTCCGTGGCGAGTGTCCATTTGCACGTGCCAATCACTTCAACGGCCAGGGTTTTTAGTATCATTTGGGCAAGTTCCTTTCCGACGCAACTCCTTATTCCGCCACCAAATGGAATGTAATTGAAGCGCCCAGTCTTGCTCTCGTCACGCTCGGGCCCGAAACGGTCTGGGTCGAAGATCTCCGGTCTCTGGAACACTGCAGCTGTCTCATGGGTGTCGCGGATACTGTACATTACACTCCATCCTTTAGGAATCTGGTAGCCCTTGGAAGTAGAGAGACAAAACAAAAATTCAACTTCAATACAATCTTTACAAGGTAAAGGTCACTATTGGCAAGTGACAACCTATTTACACTCAGACTGAATGCTCTTTGACTTCCAGAAATGTTAAGGCATATTCAGTATCATCTGTATCTCACAACATATCACATGGACCCTAAACATCAATATGAATCATATCAATTGTAAATTAATCATTAATCAGTATGAATAAAGTTGTAATAATCCGACTAGAATACATCTCATCGCATCCACCATCGGGCAAAGGCTAGCCTTGCAGGATATCCAGACGGCTTCAAAGTTATTTATACTTTTAACCTAGGGACCTCAGTTCAGTATATCCCTAATTTCAAATCAAAGCCTATGTGAATCTATTGGTCACTTTATATGGAGCAATGATTGGGAGATGCACTTGTCTAACGCTGCACGCATTATGGTGTATTGAAAACTCACCCAATTACTTTGAAAAAATACTGAAATGGTTTTGTATCTGCTTTCGAATAATGGCTTATGTTCCAGCCAGTTGAGGGACTAATTTCCCGACATCACAGTATATCTAAAGTATGATGCGGTGTGGCTTGGTCATGGGGTTGATCTAAGGTCAGCTTCCATACACTCTTAGAAAAAAAGGTTCTGGATAGAACCAAAAAGGGTTCAATGCTTCATATATGGCACCCCTAAAGGTTCTATATAGAACCAACATGTATCCAAATAGAACCCTATATGGAACCCAATGGTTCTATATGGAACCAATTTCGGTTCAGTGAATAATAACCCCTGGGGTTCTGATCAAAGAAACCTACAAAAGGGAACCTTTTTGGTTCTATCCAGAACCTTTTTTAAAAAGATTGTAGTGCGCTTCCGCAGTGTGTAAAAAGCGCGCGTAATGATTTACTTACGTTCAATTCGAATGTTTGTAGCACCGTCCTGTATCCTCCAGACACTGGCGGGAGAAACCGCAGGACCTCCTTGACGACAGATTCAATGTAACGTAGCTGGCTCAGTTTCTCCATAGTTAAACAAGGAATATGAGACCGAGAACACGGTCCCTCTTCGTTTTCATCCAGTGCGCAATTAACAGTCCCGTTCCCATTCACCAACGGGGTGTTCTCTGCGTCTAGATGCCGATGTTCCTCTTGTTCCGTCGCAAGAGGACCTTTCAGACCATTTTCTTTGCCGGAACAGCTGTGGGCGCTGTGTGCTTCGTAGCCGAGACCCTCCGACTCCAGCTCTCTCTGGGCTTTCTCCACCACAGCGGGGTGCCGCAGGAGCTGAAGAATAAGCGAAGTGGAAGCACTGGCTGTAGTTGAGTGAGCAGCAAATATTAACTCCACCGCGGTTTCCTAGACACCAGAAACAGAACACAATGAACATTTTATTTAGGCCATTTGCTTTGGTCGTCCAAAGTAAATAAATGGTAAATTCACCTTAGTAGGCTATAAACCTAAAAATAAGACTGACTATACAATTGCAAATGTGGGATTGTGTATGCATATGACCAAAGCAGAATGGATAAACAGAAAATACTATAATTTACCTTTAACTCCTGCATGCTGAGTTCATTTCCGTTTTCCTTGGCATTGATCAACATGTAATCGAAAGCATCGTAGTACTCCCCAGTCTGTTGTTTCTGCATTTTCTCCTCTATGATTTTCTCCATGCACGCATGTAGGATTTCCCGGGCTTCTATTCCCTAAGAGTAAAACATACATCAGCATGGCTTCTAATGGATTTTTAGCTGCTTTGATGGGATATTTCCATCCAGTGTTTGAAATTATATGTATTATTTTCCATTCTATTCTAATAACATATTGGGAGTTAATGTGATGTGCATGTTTTTTGTTACCCATGCAAGTTAGCAAAATAGTTTGTTATCGTGCCACACCATACAATATGAATTAGGCTACAATTATTTTTTTGAAAACATGTAAAGATATTGATAATAAATAAACGTATTATAATTTCTGGGTTATCATTTCTCAGGACTATCATTTTTACAATGATTAAAACATAAATGAAATATGCGAATAATTTTACAGCATTATAACATTGTTGGCTATAGGCCTACTCACTTTGCGGAGGCCACTCATAGGTGCGTCAATTGGTAGTGAGAAGAGGTTGTTCATGAGTTGCTCAAAGATCTTAGAAAGGTAAACTATGCGTTTTTCCTCCATCTTCAGTCCCAACAAGACTCTGACAGCAATGCGAAATGTGAGAGACTTGGCTGAGACGTAAACATTCACTGGGCCGGGCTCCGAGCACCACTTTGCAATTTCAGACTTGACAACATCTTGCAAGCGAGGTAGGTAAGTCTCCAAGGCCCCGCGGCTAAACACTTTTGCCAAGATCTTAAAGGAAAGGAAAGCATAATAAAAACGTATCACCTGGTTGGCTACAAGGCACTCCAGACAACAATTGAATAATACTTGAGACGAAATTAATTATCCCGATACTTCTCTAGTTATTACCTATATGTAATAACTCAATAACAACAGCAGGGAATTATGTGCATATTTTATTGCCTTGAATTGCCTCTCTGGCGAGTAACAGGCCTAGAAGATGATCATACCTCACCAAGTTATGTCCCCTACAGGTTTTTACTAATCTTTATTTCATCCTTACTTTTCTCTTCTTCTTGTGCAGATCTCCGATAGAATTGACCAGGGTGTCGGGTCCCAGGATTATCCGGGTGCTCTGAGGCCACTGCGTGCAAACCAAGTTGTGTTCTCCAAGCAAGATTTTACGGATGTTTTCGGCACCAGTCACCCGGATAACAGGCTTTCCTAAAAGGTGAGTTTTAAAAACGTTGCCATGCTTCTCTCTCCTGGAGATGTGGAAGTTGGACCCCTGTCATAAAACACAAACACACACAAAAGCGGTAAAGGAGGTGTTAATTTCATGTGTATAAAGAGGGCGCGTTCTACGCATAGCCTTAAGGCTCTACCCCGTGCCTCCTAGTTTACGCCCAGTCTGGAAGCGGGATGCATTCCTACAGGAAAGCGGTGTGGAATTGAAGTGAAAACGTCTGTTTTTCACCGAAAGAATGAATTACACACGCTCATCAAGTCCACACAAGTATAGTACCATTGACGCATTATATTCAGTATACAGTATACTGCACAAAGTTGTGTGCTATTTCTTTGCACATTATTAACACAAACAAACTCTTTAGCTCATCACATGCATGGTGACATACGTCGCATAAAAGGCGCATATAGCCTATCTTGGAACTCTTGTAAGAAATAAACAATACTCCTCATACCTGAAAGAGCCAGTGGAAAGTTTCTCCCACCAGCGGCCAGCCCATGGACCCATTGGGTAGCGGCAACTTGCACTCCATGTCCCGCGTAATGGTCCACCGGAAGGTCCACAGTTGCCTGGAGACTGCAAGCAGGATCAGGGCGGAGAGCACAGATGTGAGCGCTGTGACCAGCGCTGACAAGTGACTGAGCTCCAGAAGGAACATCTCCAAAAATCCACGTGCTACTGTGCAAACTTTGACTCGTGCTTATTTTCTCTGTCCAGGGGAGAGAAAAAAAATCCCCAAAACGTTAATGGAGCTTTTATCTTAAAAGGCATTTCACAGACATATTTGTATGACAAGCCTGGTTTCTGATAATTTTGCAGAAGACATGGTTGAAATAGGCTAAACGAAAGAAAAATATGATCCTGATTTAAATCTACTGGAAGTCTCCTTCATTCCGCCTCCATTTACTTCCCCTTGAATGACGAGAAACTGACAAGTATTCCAAATAGTTGTACAGGTTATACATGCGCCGGCTTGTCTATTGTATGTGCGTTTATACATTTCAGGAGGCTCAATAATCCCAAGGCGTCCGGTGTTTTATAGTGCATTGTAATAAATCAGGCAAAAGCGGGGAATATACTCACATTGATTGAAATACAGTAGCCTACAGTTGGCCAACGTTTGAGACGTGTAAGGCGGATGCTGACTAAGAATAGTATAATATCTCCCTTTAAGAAAGTAACACTGAAAAAAGTCGCCTAATTTAAAAGTGTTTGTAGCTTGAAAAAACACAAAAACAGCAAAGAAAACAACTGGAATATTGAATAAGGGGGTGTAGAGAGCCTTACCTTGTTTTACATGTAGAACCAAGTCACTGACAGCAGCAAGAAATTCGTCCTTAAAGGTCTCTTTCCAAACGCATTCCTCCTCCACAATGTATTGTTCGCATCGAGCTTTATAAATATTGGAACACTACATGATCCACCTTCGCAGATGACGTATAACGTTTTTTTTATATATATATCTAAAGAGCTTGATAAATCGCCAGGATTGGAGAAAAGTTTGTGATAGCACTCGGAGATTAAGTGAGCGCGAGCGGGGCGGCTTTGAAAGTGCGTGTAGGGTATGGGGATCGAATGGCAGCTGATTGAGGAGACAGGTAACCAACCAATCACTGAAACCCGTCAGTTTGACGGACTCTGTTCACATAGACCAGTTCTCAATAGGCATGGACATGGTGCAGTGGTATAGCCTCCCCTGCCAACCTGGCCCTGCGTGAATAATAATACATATAGGCCTACACATTAACAATAACCTGAACAAGTTTTCATGCTTTCAAGATTAATTCAACCTGCAAAATTATAGACAATATTTATTTTCTCGGATAAATAGCACTATTTACATTTTCTAGAACTTAATCTAACGTGAGCGAATTGTTCCAAATCTAGGTTTCCGGATGATTTGTCCTGTAATTTTACGCAGTTGAATTCCTTCCTATGTAATGGTCATATCACAGGGTGAACGTGCTAATTTAAAACCATAATGTACCATTTTAGAAACGGGTACACAAATGTAAAAATAAATGTAAATATAACATTCACTTTAATTCAAAACTTCGGAAAATGCTTTACGCGTGGTTGTGTTAACATTCCTCTGGTCATAATTGGGTTCCCTCTCATATTCAGTGTTGATGAGTGATGGCTGAGGGGAAGCGTGCCCCAGAGATGCCGATCACCTGGTGTCCTCAGTTCTTCCAGGTGGGTTCCTTTTCCGTTCAGGGAACAGACGGAACACCTGTTGCACACATTTTGGATTGGTGGCCAAATTCGTCACCTGAATGTTTAAACAAAGTATTTCATTACAAGAGGGTAACCTACAGTCTCATCTTTAAAAATGTAAATATTTGCATCTAGTGAAAGAAAATGTTTTAAAAAATTGAAAAATGTACACATGATAAAACAGATACAGTAGATCAATGCGGTGCAAAATAGTCTACCTATTTTTTAAAATTGTGAGATGAAAATTGTAATTTTATCTTCAGTTTGATTCCAAATAAAATGTTAGACTGTAGCCTGACATTGTAAACATGTAGTTATCCAACCTTGTCACTCTCTACGATAAATGGGTGTGTAATGACCCTTTATAGCTAAATCCAAACGGCTGATGAAAAAGTTTGAACACTTTTTTGTATTGCTAGTTAACAAGGGTCACGTAATTTTCCCCATTAGGACCTGTTAAGTACCACTAAACTGTTAACAGTTAATAACATAGGCCGATGTTATAACAGCTATATCAACCAAATCAAATCAAATGTACCAATATTTCTCATAAGCCTGTTAGGCCTATGAAAAAATGGTGTGGAGGGCATCAGTTATAGAAGGATGCACTATGTTAACACTATGTTAACAAATCTTAATTGAGCCTCCTATGGCAAGCCATGTCATAGTGAATATGTTCCTCTTAATAGTGAGATTGCTAATGGTACTGTCCAATTGAGTGACAGTGTATGTGTTGTTTTCTGCCATTACATAGTCACTATATGAGCTGACCTTGGTCTTTGCATGCACTATGTCTGTTGTGCTGTTCCCACTGTTCCAAAACTCAGCCAAACTCTAGTGCAGGGGTACTCAAGTACTATTTGAGAAGGTCCAGTCACACAAATGTCCTAGGTGGCAAAGGTCCGGATGGATAATGTAATTTGTCGGCATAGTAACAACCCCCCACCTCACAACCCATGCGACCCATGCGACCTCAACGCCAGCTGAGTATAGAGGCTCTAGTGGATTACTGCCTAATTATATGAAATGGTGAAATTATGGCCTGGGGTGTCATTTTATTTCGGTAGGCAATTTCCTACCGTCCACTAGGGGCAAAGTGAGCACCTATCGCCTAAACCTACCCTAACAACACACTATCACAAATGATCGTGAAATAGACACAAATTACTTATTCGATATTCGTGACAGGCACACCATTTTTTCATGCTCACACAATTTTCTAAGTAATTATTTTAGTGTCCACCACACGATTTTCTTCTTCATAACGCATTTGTATTTTCTTCATAACAAATTCAAATTTATTGTGGCTAAAATTAGCTAGGTTAGCTAGGTGGCTAATGTTAGTTTAGCTCATTGAAGCCGGTTAAGATGGAGACATAACATGCGTAGTTTGAATTACTCCAGGAAGTAACGTTGCAGTTTAGCTCAGTGCTGCCACCTCTCATTGAGTAACTCAAGTTGAAGGCCGACCGGGGTACTGTAGGCTGCCATTAGCAACTATATTATCCTTAATACTTATTTTGTGTGCGATTAAAAAATAATTGGTTCAAGGACATACATCTGGTGTATTAGAAGCAATTATTGGTACCATGATTACATTTACGCTAAGATTGACCACGAAGATCGACATTTTTCCATTCAATATAATGATCCTGTTTTCGGCTAGCAATGCCTGCTGTATCGTGGTCAGCCTTGAACTTCTGTGGCTTCAATGAGAGGGGGCAGTCGTTCTCCCCTGGGTTAAGGTTAAGGTTAGGAGGGTTAGGGTTAGCTAACATGCTAGCTACATAGTTAGGTTTAGGGTTAGGGTATAGATGGGTTGGCTGACAACGTCACGGAAATGTTGCCGGAAGCCGTGCTTTGTTATGATTCTGAACGGTCAGAAAGCTAGCAACAATGACAAGAAGCTGCCATGTGGGGAATCGTAGGTGGCTCGTTTCAGCTAGTAGTATTTTGTTCTTGATGCCATGTCTTGTTTGGAGGTGTTTTGATTTATTTCATGTCAATGCTAATATGGCTCAAATTCACTAGCTAGCTAACCAACAACTGTAACGATGTATTTGAGAGAAAACAAATGCTCATTGTGCAAATGTATTAATGTTTTCAATAAACATTTGGAGACAAAATATAGTTTACAAGTTGTCAACAATCTAAGCCTACCCCGTCTGTTTTGCCCCATAGTTGCGAATATGTCGGTTTTGTTGCTAAACAACCAACCCGTCTATTAAGTAGTTGCAAAGACGCTAATTAGCTAAAATGCTAAAGTAGTCCATCATGTGATTCGAAAACACAACGTTTTGGTTAGGGTTAGCATGTTACCTAACCGTAAATAAAAAGTAGTAAGTAGTTGCAAATTAGTTAAAATTCTAAAGTTCTCAATCATGTGATTTGAAGACCCAACATTTGGGTTGCTAGACCTTTGCGTTATTTTACTACCACTGCTTCGTACATGTCATCGAGAAACCCTCTCTGCCCTCAGTGGGGTGTTTAGTCATGGAACAGCTTGTGTTTGAAATACTGCAGTGATGATTCACACATGGTATAGCCCTCCTTGTCATGTTGGGTTGTAATGATTACCTGCCCATAACCTGGCCCACTCCCTCTTCCTGCTCTGATGTTGATGAAACTCAGCATTTGATATATGATTCATACTTCCAGTTTAATGCCGCTCCTAGATGCAAAGTCTCCAGGTGATTAAGAGGCAAGTCCCATCTCTGTGCCCCCTGGTGCCCTGTGGGCTGCGGCTCTAGAGAGATATATGGAGGAGCCCCCCTGCAGGTAAACAGACAGGGATTGCAGTAGTTATTTGGATTTAGACTAATCTCTCCCATGGGGCAGAATACTTGCCTGAGACCCAGCAGCTCCCCTCCTGTCCTCTTCTTTCACTGCCACCGTGCTGTCATACAACTCCCCTACTAAAGCCAGGTCAGAGGTCTGTTCACTGATTGATTTGATAACTAAGTCAATCTTTACATAATGATGGCATCACACAACAACTTACTGGGACGGAAACCACATCCCATGATTGACTTAGTTATCAAATCAATCAGGGAACACACCTCTGCCCTCGCTTTAGTAGGAGACAAAATGGTGAAGAAAACCAAATTATGAGGCAAGGTGGGCCTGCTAGACAAATCTCTGCAGTGTCTTGAGAGAAAGCTGTAACAGCATTCAGAGTGTAGTCACTGTGACCCAGTCTCACTTTGAAGTGTGAGAGGCAACAACTCAGGCACCTTTCCACTCAAGCTTTTACGGGGGGCAGGGGGAGAGTGTGTGTGTGGGAGAGTGAGGAAGTGAGCGAGAGAAAGGAGAGAGAGAGAAAGAGAGGGGGGGGGGAGTATTGTCTTGTCTAGATATTTAGCAAATGTCATTATTAATTTTAACAGCCAAGAAACCGAATACCAAAGAAGAAGCTATCAGCTATGGCTGTGGGAGACAAGTAGGAGCTTGTCAGACATGTGGAGGGAACTTCTCATTCAGACAAGAACACAACGCTC